CTAAATTAGGGACGGCTAGCGAAATTCAAAACAAACTAAGTAACAAAAAGGTTAAATCTTGCTTGTCTAAACAAACGTGCTATTACCATTAAATTTAGATTTATCCTGATAGATTAATACATATTTAGTACGTTGATTTAAATACCTTTGTCGTGAAAGTGCATGTGGTTTGAGAACATTTATATTTGCCTTCATTTGTTGCTAAATGCCCCCTAGTGGCACAGCGGCATGTCTGTGGACTTACAACGCTAGAAACTGGATTTCGCTACCCGTGATGGACAACGCACAGATAGCCCATTGTGTAGCTTTGTGCTTAATTTCAAATAAGCAAACATTGTTTCTAAAATTATTAATCGAACTTTACACTTTAATCAACTATTTGTATGAAAAAAGTCTTTTTGATTGAAATTTTGATCATCCTCAACTTTACCTTTCTTCTGACATGGTGATTAAGTCAGTAATTGTATTTTAAATATTGATTATATTCACGAAAACACAAAGGATTTAATTTGTATATTAATTAATATTTAGACAATTAAATAATTTTCATTTCTTCCGCCAGAAGTTTGATATTTTCAACTTGTAAAGTACCTTATGCTCACGTGGGCAAAAATGGCCAGTTCAGAGACTCTACGATTCAGACTTATCCGTTCATATTTAAGAACCATTAAATTTAAAATAATTGCAATTTATATATCTCCTTGAGAAAACTATCTTTTTCTTATAGTATTCAGTGACAACACGTTCTATTGTGGTTGAGGCAGGAAAATGATACACAGATTTACTTACACTGAGTTACAGTGAAGTTGTTTTATCATGACTTTGGACAGGGGCGGATTTAAGCCGAAATGCCTAGTCAGCTAAAAAAAATGGGACCCGACGAGCTCTATTCATACTTATATTATACATCAAACGAAAGCAAATAATTTCAACAGATAGCTGAATAAATTGACAAACTTAATAAATAAAATAGAGTTAAACTTAAAATAATTGATTTCTAAAAAGCATCATATATATATAAAGGGGCCCGCTCCTGCCTTTAGGCTGTAGTAGACCTTAACTTTTGAGGGAATTAGTGCTTGCAGTTGTTTTATTTTATTATTTTAATTTAACATGTCGAGGTTCTTTTTTCGTAGTTTATCTCATGTTCAGCGTAACTTACAAGGGAAACCACACTGGTAAGAGAAACTATTAAATGTTTTTTTCACATCTCTTGCCAGTTCAACATATCTACCGAACACGCTTGCCCTTTTGTTTTGTTTTACTTTGCGTTGTATCATGTTTTGTTTCAATGTACAATAAATATTTTTGTTTCAACTGCGCCCTTTGTTTACTGTCTCTTTCTGTGCGATGAATTTGTTCAGAGATCGGGGAGAGACACACTCTGTGACTCAATTTCCACGAATCTCCAGTTAGTGAGCTCTAACGTACTACTCTTAGGTAAATCTGCGAACCAGAAAATACCAGAACGATTGGTTCTATCCACATGACAGGTATTTCTCGTTAGAAATAAGGAAGGTCGTAACTTTAAGATATCACTTGACATACCGTTAGAGAAAACCGCTGCCCTCTTAAAATAAACGAGTTGCAGCTTTAGAGTGACTTCCATCACGGGAAAATCAGGTTTTATCTTTGGGGAGGGACACAGAATAAAGATAGTTAGACCGCAAGTGACATAACGAACTTCTTGACTACATGTTATGTGAAAGGCACATATACTTAGAAATTGATAAATTTCGAAAAATAGCCATATTAAAGTAAAAAGGCAGAAAACGCATAGCATGTTTCTTTTGGTTTTGCCCCCAGTGGCCCAGCGGTATGTCTGCTGAGTTACAACGCCAGAATCCGGGTTTCGATACTAGTGGTGGGCAGAGCACAGATAGCCCTTTGTGTAGCTTTGTGCTTAACTACAAACAAACAATCTTTTGGTTTAAATATTTTCGTATCACACATTGGAACTCGGACTGCATTCTTCCATGTGTATTTTTTCCTTCAGTTTTTTATACATCCACATCATGCCGAAACTCAATAAATATTTATATAAACAATAGCAGGACCTTTAGAAATGCAGTGAACCAAGTGTTAACGTTACCACTTATTTGTGAACATTAAAATTATTAATTATTTTCCCTTCTTTTTGTGTTTTTTTTTGCATGTCCCCTTTTTTATTTTTACTTTATTACTATTGTCATATATTTTTTTATAATTTCTCAGTAAATTATTTATTATGAATCTATCTGAGCTTTACTTTAAACTTGAGTCAAAATTAAAATGTTATCAGAACGCAACCCTAATATAAGAAGAACGTCCAGTCAAAACGAAAAAAAACAAAAAAAACATCTATCCGTTGTTATTATTATTTTACTGACCAAACACATTTTCGGAATGTGTCCTTTACCTTGTTATTTTTCTATAAATATATTCAGAATTGAAGCAGCAGACGGCGCTAAATAAATATGGCGTCCGAAGACAGTTATGTGTTTTATCAAGCTGATTTACCTGCATTAAGTTTTCCTGTTATAGAAGATATAAGGCGCCAGGGTAAATTATGTGATGTTACGCTTAAGGTACTATTAGTAAGCTTTTATTTCTGTAATAAATAATGATGTCTTAACCTGAAATCAAATACTGGTGTTGGATACAAATTTTCAGATCTTAAAACTTGGGAATTCACCCCCCCCCCTTTTTTTTACTCAAGGAAGGATATAAACAATCGATCATTAAATTAAACTTATTAATTAAGCAAATTAGACATCAGCTGTGAACAGCACCTCCAATTTGCATTCATGTTTAATTACATTTTTGGCATATGCAAACTCACATGTTCAGTGACGCATGCAATATTGTCATTATTGACATAATTTGTGTGCTGTGAGTTGTAACTTGAAAGTTTAACCTGCCTTATAATTGTTATAACTATAACCAACTTTAGAGGAAACAGCATAGGCAGTAATGAGCCATTTCGAAATGTGTGACAATTTACCTGTTCATTTGAAAAAAATTGAATCTGTTGATTCCTGTTTATCAGAAAGTACTGGATACAACTTACAAGTATATATATAAAAAAAAAAAAGAATACAGATTACTGACAAAAATGAAAACCTGGGACATTCAGGCAACCCAAAAGGCTCTGCCACCCTAGATTTCAAATATAACGATTTATACATTATTTAGGCTACTATCTAAGATGAAAGTAATGTAATTGAGTATGTTAGTGAAAACTGAAATGTCAATTCATCAAGGAAATGAGTGTTTTCACCTTTAGTGTTTTTTATGTTTTATACTTAAGGTTGATGATCAAGCTTTTACTGGGCATAGAATCATCCTTGCAGCGACAATTCCTTATTTCCATGCAATGTTTACCCATGATATGATGGAAAGCAAACAAAAAGAAATTACAATTCAAGGCATAGAAGCAAGGTGAGTTACGTTTAAGTTTTTTCTTTATTAGTAAAATCTGTCATACTCGTGTTGTCATTTATTGTGCATTTGTTAATAAGTCAAATACTATTATAATAATATTTGAAAACACAATGTTAGAAACAAAAAATTCCCTATTATCAATGAAAAGATTTTAACTATGTTTTATATTTGAAATGTAGGTCTGTGAACCTGAGGTATATGCATAACTTTTATTACACAGTGCTTTGGAGGCTTTAATCAACTTTGCATACAGTGGAAAAGTTAAAATCCATACAAACAATGTGCAGTCCTTACTAGTAGGTGCTTCATTTCTTCAGCTGGGAAAGGTCCGAGAGGCTTGTTGTGAATACTTGAAAAAGAGGTACGATATAACTTTTTCTGTACTAAAGAACAAGCACAAATAATTCATTTTGTATGTATAACATTATCTTAAAAAGGATTTTTTAACAGCTTTCATTCATATTCATAATATTTGCTTTTACATATATGAATGTTTATTTTACTTTGATAAACATGAGTATTCTCATTATTTTGTTTTATTAGGAAAGTTACCTCTATATGTACATTTCTTTTTTAGTTTCTTGAAGTAAATGTACACATTTAAAAACACCAGAAGTCTAACTATGATACACTGGTGACATAGTATGTCATGATGTGGAAGAGAGAATTTATTAAAGTTATCTCAAATAACACGAGACTGAATGATTTAATTGTTACATGTTAAGTGAAACCTAAAAGTTGTCTCCACCTTTTCCAGGTGCAAAAGCACAAAGAATAAATAACACAATTATTCTAGCATATACAGAAAACCTTATGCTGTTTCCATGCCACTACAAAAAATTAGATCATCACATATTACAGACAAATTCCACCAACTTTATATTAGTAAATGTAAATGTACATGTTTATATTCAAATAGAAGATCTACAAACTGAATTATTTAAAGAATGTAGCACTGTCTGGAGGAGTTAACCATAATGACATAGTCAGGACGTTTATTAAATTCAAGACTATAAAACTTTCTATTATAAATCCAGTCTCTCTTTTATCAGTAACAAAAGATCATGATAAATTCCTCTAATTTCCTCTTGTGTCTGAAAATGCCACTCAAGTAATGTACAAATCATATTTATACCTTCATATAAGATAAGCATCTTATTACTTAACTTGAAATAGGTACTACAGAAAGAACAAAAATAAGTTTGTATAGTATCTCATGTGAATATGATAAAAAATATGTTAGATAAACATCATGTCCTTTAGAAATCGGAGATAAAGAACACTAATTCATATGCATAGAAAAAAAAATCTGAAGAAATTGCCCTAAAATGTGGTCATAAGACATTTTTGGACAAAATTTCTTTCCAACATCTACCCAAAATTAAAATTGAACATGATTATTTAGAAATTATAAAAGCAAGTGATTAAGTACAAAACTGTACCAGTGGTCTTGGTAGTATTAGTTTATAATCTTAGTATTGTCACACTTGACCAGCCCTGACAATTTTCTTAAGTTATAAACTTTGCTTATAAAATTTCAAGTCGCACAGTAACATAACTTTGATCTATAAACCTTGTATTCCCATGCATCATTGTCTTTGTATATAAATTTGGATGTTTCTATTAACATCTAGTTGGCCATATTCATGATAGTTTCCAATACACGATGTAATATGTGTTTTATATAAATAAGAATCCTAATTCTAACCTATCGCAAAATTAGAAGGATAAGCACAGGTTCAGTATGACATCATCCAATGATCAACTGGAAATAAAGGTGGGATGAGGCAATTAGTGTGAAAAAGCATTATCCAGTCATTCTTCAGTATTTGTTGTATGTTCTTTCATGAGAATAAATTATGCAAAACCAAATTGTTACAGTTGGAATTTTTCATACCGAGACGTGAAGGAAACAGACTTGCATGACTGTATATAGAATAGTATTTTATAAACAAAATTTCTCAGTAAAATGTATTGACTCTCTTGGGAACTTTTCTGTACCTTTGAAAAAATTTCAAGATGCATTTTGGATATTTTTTTGTAGATATAATAAACATTACATTTTCTTAATGAAACACATGTTAAGTTACTTACCAGAGCTTTATAAATCAAAGTTTTGTTAAGTTCTAGTTAACTTCCTTAAATTTAAGTGTTCAACCAGGGAGATTAAAAATTTCTTGGTTTACAGCAACCATAATGAATAAATTCAGTGTTCTTGATCTTGAAATCTGATCTTCCATAGCTTCTAATACCAAACATTGAATATTCTCTTTTACCAAAACTCCCCACACTACTGTAAGTGGGGCTTTTGGTAAAAAGTAGCTTCATAAGAAGGTTCTCTCATTTTATAAACTTTTATTCCATCAAAAAAGAATTTTATTATTCAAACTATCTTTTCTGTGGTCCTTCTTTTCCTGTATCAGATTCCTCCAGCTGTTCCAAAAACCATTTTTCTTTCTTCAGCCATATTTCATTGTTACATTCATGGTCGTCCAGTTGATTAAATGAGTAATTGTTGGTAGTTTAACTTTTAAGAAACAGACATAAAAGCTTAAATACATTTGAGACTCATGAAATAAGAATATTGTAGCTTTGAGAAGACTCTTAGAATTTTCTCTGGATATATTGCTGTATAAAAGTTCTTAAGCTCAGTTTTTTTTTTTCATTGTAAAACAACTTAATCATTTAGTATCCTGCTGTGGGAACTGTTGAAGAGTGTTAGTTATAATAAGTAATATAACTTACAAGTATATGTAGACTTGTAATTAGTTGACTCAGGTACATGAACTAATGCCTACATCTTGCCACCTGTATTTCAGGCTCCACCCAAATAACGTGTTAGGAGTGAGATCATTTGCCGACACCTTAGGATGTGCATTGTTAGTAGAAGCTTCGAACAGATTCATACAGAAACACTTCGTAGAAGTTTGTAGTTCAGAGGAATTCATGTCCCTACACTTTCAAGACCTTTATGAGATTATTGGAAGAGATGAACTGTATGTGGCAAGTGAAGAACAGGTACAGAGCATGTGAGCCATCTTAAATATGTGGTATAATTTTGTTGTCATTAAAAGAGCTATTTTAAAGATAATCATAAACTTTGGTTTTGTTTCCTTTTTTTATATTTAATGAACCAGTATAAGAGCCAAATACTCAAAATATTAACTCGTGGGTTTTAAACAAACTCATCATTTAATAAACATTCATTTTTGTCTTTAAGAAAATATTTTCAAAATTTTCTGAAATTTTAAAGAGCTTTTATTCTTCACAGAGGAAATTTATTTTTATAATATTTACATGTACTTCACCATATGAGCAAATAGAAATTGTAATATTATGAATTATACTATATCTAATAATACCTTTTTAACATACTTTTGCTGTTGATCAGTATGATGCTCTTAATTTTTTTAATTTGTAATATTCCACGATTTATAAAAAAAAACTGCTGACATTGAAAGTTGTTGTAAAAATATGTATCCTTCAACAAACTTTTAAGGTTGACTGTACTCATTATAAAAATATTTATTTGATTACCAGGAATTTGCTGTCATTGTCATTTTTGTACAGGTTTCCTACTCAGGATTTATGTGAGGGTCAAGAAGACAAAATTCATTGAACAAACTCGTGCTGTCATTGTCATTTTTGTACAGGTTGCTTACTCGGGATTTATGAGAGGATCAAGAAGACAGAATTCATTGAACAAACTCATGCTGTCATTGTCCTTTTTATACAGGTTGCTTACTCGGGATTTATGTGAGGATCAAGAAGACAGAATTCATTGAACAAACTCATAAAAATTATAGTTACAAAATGTTCATGATTAACTTCTCTTAATTCTTTTACTAAAAAACACTTTTTTAATTAGCTCTGTTATTTCAACTCAAGCTTTTAGTTCTTTGCAGTTTCGTAGTTACATTAGAAAGATTTAAACTATAGATCGATTACTTAAGAAAGAACTGAACCTTGTTCCATTGTGGCAGCTAAGGGCACAGCAAGTTCTGAATCAGGCTTGTCCAGAGGAGGAGGATGGGAGTTCTTGGTCTGTTGACAGTTTTTTAATACTCTGATTTGTAGGCTAAAGTCTCATCTAATTTTTGCAATCTATGTGAATTTAGTTCTGCCAGACTGGTTCTCGTATGATAATTATCATGCAACATTTCTCCTAGTGGAGTCAGATAACACCCTTCGTCTTCAGTTGTAAATCTGAATTCCTCTTGATTAAACAATTTTCAGTGTTCGGTATCTCTGTTACCTCTGTCTCCATTTATCCTAGAGCTCTATTAACACTGACCTCATTAAATTTCTTTTAATGGTGTGACTTAAGTTACAGGTATTAATCACCTTTCAACTCATTAGTGTCCATTGTTACTCAGTGTGTGTCATTTGTGACAACCAGTCATTCACAGTTGATTTGAAGATGTTTTCTCACTTGTAGCTGATAAAAAAAAATTTTTTATCATACTGTTATCCTAATTCACTTGATGGTGTGTGCTGCTCTGGCCAAACTATTTAATACATGTCTTTTTTTATTATTGCTCATCTCCTTTTATTTGACCTGATTCTCTTTAGTTCCAAGTATAATTATCTTAATATGGCAGTGTTTCCAGTAGTGGATATAGGGGTGGGGTTCCAGGGGATCGAACCCCACCCTTTTTTTGATGCAAAGTGCCCTTAAGATGCAATACATATATTTTCTATCATTTTTGGATTTTCTATGTGTGCCCTTTTATATGCTGAACCCTGCCCTTCACAAGATTTTGGGTCCATGCATGGTTTCACATATTAAACAGTATGGTCTTTTTCAAAGTTTGTATAAGAATTGTATCACAAGTTACTTCTAACTCTGTTATATTTAAGATGATTGATGTTTATAGATCTTATTGAAAATTTTTCTACAACATAGTTGTTCTTGATCGAATAACAAAACAAAAGCTAATAATTTTAATAAGGATTCAAAACTACGATATTAATGGAAGTAACTGCAACTATCTGACTGAAACTTGCTATCATACAAAGTGAAGTAGGAAAATATGATACATAAACTATCATAGAAATATAAATTTATTAAATTTTATTATCATGATTTCAAAATCTAAAATTGTGAAGAATGGAAAAGATCTGAAAATCTAATTAATCTTAAGTTATTTTTAAATGTTAAGAATGAAAACTGTTGAAATTGTTTTCTTACTGTTTTAATGAATTCAAAATATGCATGTTATAGACTACAACTTGTGGGTTACTTTTAACTGATTAGTGTTTTTGAGTATCTCGGTTCATAGATATATTCTTTTGTCATTTTTATTGTGCTCAAATGTACACTTAAAAGTGTTGAGTTACACATAAGAAGTTCTTTTTAAGTTTTAACAAAGAAGAGTCTTGCAAAAATATAAATCTTGGCAACAATTATAGTGCTTTTTTATAGCGTTAAATCTAGTTGATTGCAATGATATATGTATGTGTATATATATATATATATATAATACAGTGAAAATTAGAATTATATTATTTCAAAATGGATTCAATCTCAAGTTGCTGTCATGTAGATATGTGCAGTTACACAATAAGTAGTTATGTTTGACTTAGTTGCATTAATAACTATTAAACTATTAAAATAAAATGTAATCAAATTATAAAAAAGTAAATAATGTTAAGAAGTAGTTAAAAACTGGCTCAAAACTTTATATGTAGGTGATAACAAGAAGGTTCAGTTATTTTTGATATTAATTTATCAAGAACCTCCAGTATAGAGAACAATGGAGATTTTTGCACTTAGCATGACCTGAAATTCTGTGCTTTTCTTTCAGAATATGTCCATTTAATTTCTAAATGTAAAATTCTGGGAAACCTTTTCTTTTTTTTTTTATTTCCCTTCAAACACCAACAAAAGCAAAACTATAATGTGTGCTAAGTACACCATTTAGGAGCAATTTTAGGTTTTTGTAAATTATATTTCTCTTTTTATGCATGTATAAATATGACTAGAAGAAGCAAATACTTTTCTATAAAAGATTTAAGCTTTCTCCTTGTTTTTGTAAATGTTGTTAGGTGTTTGAAGCTGTGATATCATGGGTGAAAAAGGATGTTGTTTCACGGCAGGATAACTTGCCCGAACTTCTGACCAAAGTACGCATGCCTCTCCTTACACCTTATTACCTTACTGATCGGGTTGCTACTGAAGAACTCATCAGGACATCTCATCGATGCCGTGACTTGTTGGATGAAGCCAAGGACTATCACTTAATGCCTGAGAGACGACCACTACTTCAGAGCCGTAGGACAAGGCCTCGTTGTTGTCCCGACATTATTGGTTTAATTTATGCTGTTGGTGGATTAACCAAAGCAGGTAGAGTGAGAACACTCGCATGAGATATGATAATGTAAATATTATGTTTCAGTTCATCAACGTTGAACAAGCCAAACAAATTAAAGTCACTTCAATACAATACTCAGTTTACTGAAATTCCTAATATATTATACTTCAGACTGTTCTCAAACCAAGAATATATGTATATTTTAAGTTAGGTTAACTTTCTGTAGTACATATGAATAGCATTAAGTATATATCTAGTATAGTTACGAGGTAAATATTAGGATTTGCCTTCAAAAATTCTTAAAGTGAAAGATCTTGTTCCTTAAATCTTAGATAAAACTGTGCATTAATAATAACTTCTAATTAGAGTAAGCCATGTACTTAAAATGAAACTAAAAATCAACCTGGTCTTCTATATACGTAACTAAATATACTTGTATTTCTAATTTTAAAATTTAGAATGTATTGTTTCATCATTAGGGTATCCTTGCTGTTAATGATATTTTCAGCCATAAACCCACTAATATCTCACGATTTAGGTTAGTTCCAAGTACAAATTGTAAGCTAACAATGAAAAACATTCTTTATAATAATACTAATAAATGAAAAAATAATAATATTCTATATACTAACCAATATAACCTACCTTACTTAGGGAACCCACAAACACTAGTTCTTGTCATGAACCATGGACATTGATGTATATTTCTTTGGAATTTTACTGTTTCTAACACTGAACTTTACCAAAGAAACGTGGTACAGCACCCCTCTGTATAATGTTAGAGGCTATCCTAACTGTGACAATTAAACCCATATATTTTAGTTTAAATCATGTTGGATTAGTCTGTCTCTTATTGAAAAGTAAGTTCTTTTTTTTTTTAATGACCCAATTGTATAGACTCTCTTCATCCAAAGACATTGGAAGGGGTTTTGGCACATGTGAGATATTCATATCATTAGAGCTTAATTAGTGTTGGTCACTGTGTGTGTGAAAAGCTCTGTTTGTTTTTAAACCAGTAACTCTCATTCTTGAGAATGGTCAAAAGATTTGCATTGATGCTTCATCCAAGATTACCAAAGGGTCTTTTCATATTCAAAACACTCAAGTCATCAGAGCTTGATAAATGTTAATAAATCAAAAGTATGTACTGTGCTGTACCTTATCTAATTTCCAAACTTACTGGCATCAGGAGTAGATGCATTATCTTCTTGCTTTCAATTCTTTCGTCTGTTTTGAACTAATGAAACATAATAGGTTTAAGTCACTTACCAGAAAGTCATGCCATTTAAGTACCATATATATTTTGTGAGTTAGCTAGCACATCCAGTTTTATTAATATAATAATTCCCAAAACAGTCTCTCACTGTTATATTGCTCTTCAGATTTCTGGCTAGTTGTTGTCAGCATTAGTCTGGGTGACACAATTGATGACTTGCTGATCCTTTATATCAACTGCTATAACATATACAATGCTATGCCTTTTGTAAGTGGTATTTGTAATCTTTAGCGTAATTAACTGATTAATCTTTAATTTGCTAATTTTATATTTATATATCTCAAGAGGAAATAGTTACTACTAGAAGCTATTCCTTGTCATAAAATGTTTTTCATCTGTTTAGAATGAAATTTCTTGTTTATCAGAATTTTTTACTGCTTCTCATATCTTAAAACTTGATTTCCTAGTGTTTAGTAGTTTTAACAAGCAGACTAGATTTTATCATGACTAAAGTTTCATATCTAAGATTACTTTTATGATACACTACGAGGCTCTTCCAATTAGCCTTATTGTTTTCATTAACTACCATGCCACTACATATTTATAGAATGTGTTCATCACTGTAAAATATTTGCATCAATTTCTTTAAATGTATTCTAGCTTTTTTCTGTCCGTGTATCCAGTTTTTGTCCTCAGAGTTTGTAACTCAGAAGCCTGAAATCTAGGACGTAGTCTCTTCTCTATCAGTGAAAAGCTGCTGCTTTATAAAGAATAGCAGGTCTCAAATTAAACACTTGCCATTTATAATCAGTCTTTTGATTTAGCAAAAACAGTGCACTTTCCATTTGTCGTTGTGACTGATAGGAAAAAGTAGTAATGGAATTAATTCAGGGTTCAGAATTTAGCCTTGAAATCAAGTCTGACTACTGACAGAAAGTTTGCCATAGCCAAAAGTGGCATATCACAAAGCAAAAATGTATATCAAAAGAGGTAAAAAAAAAAATTTATATCAAAAATGATAATATTTATAATCATGTTAACACAAGTAGGTTATAAAATTGTAATAAAGATATTTGTTTCCTTTTTACAAAGGGATGTAATGATCCTGTACATTGTACGGGAGAATTTCATAATCACAAGGCAGGGATAGAATAAGGAAGTAAATATATGAATTATAGTGTGTATTGTTCACACACACACACATGTCATGGGCAGTGCCAGTTTCAAAACTTTCTATGTAATAAAGTTTAGGCATGTTTTTCAAATAATTGGTATTTACAAAAAGGATTATAAACACAACTAGCTTTATTGATCTATTGACATGTAAATAATTATGCTGAAATAGTTTGATTTTACCTAAAGCAAGTTTATCTAAATGGTGGAACAATCCAAATATGATGCAAATGAAGTTGTGATTAGCAGAACCATCATATAGTGTTAAGTTTGATCAGATATACCTCAACATTTTATTTAGTACACAACAGAGCAGATTCTACACACTAGAACTTATTGTATGGTGTGGCATTGATGTTCACCTAGCCTATGGTTGCATATAGTACTTTTGATACAGTTGTGCAATTTGTGAAGTTGGGATGCAAATTTCCACCATCCACTGTATTCATAACATCACAGTGTTTTTCTTCAAATCACAAGAAAACTGTTTTGTTTTTGCCAAACTGAAAAGTGACCACAGTTAGCTAATGTTTAATCAGAACCCTGGATAAAATGTGTTTTTGTTATTAATTCACTAATGTAGTGCTGAGTAAGAAAATACTAATTATCATAATTTGAAGGATGAAAAAAGGTAATTGAGATCGTTTTTTGTTTTTTTCTGGGTCATGTTTTAAATTAACTTCATTTCTGGATTCATCGTAATCAGTTACACCTTTTATGTTGTTGTGTGTATTTTTTATAAAATAAACTATTTTATGAATCTTATAAAACTATATTGAATTTTATTCAGGTGACTCCCTTAGCACGGTTGAAGTTTATGATCCAAATATTGGGAGGTGGCAGATGGCGGAAGCCATGACTATGTTACGTAGTCGTGTAGGAGTTGCTGTAATGCACAACAAACTTTATGCTATTGGTGGCTACAATGGTTCAGAACGACTTAGCACTGTAGAGGTTTTTAACCCAGATACCAAAGTTTGGACAAAGGTGGCTTCCATGAATTGCAAAAGAAGGTACACCCAGAAATTTACCTTGTATGGTGCTTTAATTTATGTCTTAATTTCATGAATGGTGGGAGGGAAAAAATGTTAATTTAAAATCCATTTTAATATTTTGTTTGCTTTTCATACTGTTTTATTGTATATGAAATGTGTAAGTTTTAATTGTACAGAGAAAACTGTAGAAAATTTTGATTAGAAAGACGTACCTTTGTACCAGAATAAACATTAATGCAACTTTTTTAGAAAAATTAACATAGTATAAAGTGACAATTTTGATTCTTTTTCTTTAAATTAGGGTTAAAAAGTTTCAAGTCTAATAAAAATGTTAGTAATTAAAAGTATATAACATCAAATAGTTTTTGTAGTTTAAAATAACACTAAAAATAGTGAATACTTTATCAATGATATACTATTAATTGCTCAACAGTATTCAATTAGAATTTTAACTGTAAAGGTATATGGATTAGAGATTATAATTGGGTAATTAGATAAATATAATCAATTCCTAATAGTATATACTTGTGTATATTTCATCACAAAACTGTTTCTTCAATCCAGTCGTTTCTTTTCTTTGTCTATGAGCATTGAATACATTGATCAGTGCCATGTAAAATGATTGATTAATTCGAAGCTGTTAAACTAATTAATTAATGTGATGAGTCGTGAAAATAATCAACTGATCGAAATAGTTTCTAGCTAATACTATTGATTATTCCAAATATCCAAGTCTCTTGAGAATAATCAATTAGGAAATTCTATTAATTGCCCAGCTCTGCTGTAATATACTTTATCATTATAATTAGTTATGTGATAGTTTGTCTCAGAGTGTAAAATGTAAACAGCATTTCTGATTATTTATATGGTATTGAAAAAAATTGACAATTCCTGATTTGTATTAGATATGGATGTTTGAATATTGTGTTGCCAAATTTATGAAATATTTTTAATTAAGCTTTTCACATAACAGTTTTTCAGTTATATTTCAAGTTAATTCCAAAAATATACTTACGATGGTAGTATTAATTCTTAGTACATATATATGTTGACTCTGTTTTCATTAAGGTTTACAGAACATGGAGAAGTAAAACCAGATTTTTTCCAATTTTAATACTTTCTATTTTGTAAAATTATCTATTTAAGTTTTTTAATAGTTTGTTTTACTTGGAATGAAAATGTTCTTGGAAATTGTGTTTTTACCTGATCTTCACTAAAATAATATTAAATTATCATCACATACTATGCACATTTGGCAAAAGCTGTAAGCATATAGGTGTTTGAGATTTATTTGCTTTTGTGTTCTGTGTGCATGTTTGTGGTTAAAACAATCAAATTTCACATTCCAGATTGAGAAAAATTGTGTTATGTAATATTTAATTGTATTACATAGGTACGAAACTTGGTAAGCTTGTTATCTTTCTTTTATTTTCTTTATCAGTGCTGTAGGTGTTGCATCTTTGTACAATCGACTTTATGTTTGTGGAGGATATGATGGAGTGTCCTCCCTGAACACTGTTGAATGCTACAACATTGACAAAAATGAGTAAGTTTTATTCTTATGAACATAAATAAAATAATATGTGAGTAAATGAATCAAATCCATTGCTTAAAAAACAATGTCAGTTCAAAAGTAAACTTTATAAAACATCTACTAGGTGCAACATACATTATGATCCCAAACTGAACCTTGAAAATTGATCAGGAGGTGTTGATGACACTATTATAACTGGAATATTTACTTTTTGGTTCACATATACATCACTTGATTGCTGTTATAATTAAATTAGTCCCTTGTTGTTGGTATGATATTAGGTGAGTACTGTATATACAGCTCTTTAAAATATATATTACCAAAAAAAGCAGCATTACAGCAACATTGAAACTTTAGTTTTGCCATGTTTTGAGAGTAGATGTTGCATAGTTATTCAAATCAGATAAGTTAGCAGGTCATCTGTTAATCTCGTAACTTAGGCATGCCGTCAAATCAGAAATAAATAGACAAAGATGTTAAAAGTGTGAGCAAATACACTTACTCAGAATGATGCTCAAGCTCTTAATAACCATTGTGTAATACTTTCTCAATCAATAATGTGTAATTGATAAAGAAAGTTTAGTTATATATATATATATATAATGTGGAAAAAAACCTGATTCTTTAGTTAATCCATTGTGATGTTTGTTATGTTTAATTTTACACTTTATTTTCCATTCTTAAAAAAATTTAACATCTAGATGGACAATGGTGACCAGTATGTCCAAGCATCGAGGTGCTGCTGGAGTTGTTGCATTTGAAGGGCACGTTTATGCTTTAGGAGGTCACGATGGACTTTCGATATTTGATTCAGTATGTATTCAGTTTATTTAATGAAGTTTTGTGTGAGGTGTTTGCAATGCAGAAAAATACTGTTCATCCAACTTCTGTAAAGGTTCTGTCATGAAAGATGTAGCATTAAAGTTACCTTGTGAAGCAAGGGGCAGATAACGAACGTTTTATTGTATACCAAAAATAAGTTTCTTTGCAAGCAGTTCTTTAGACCTGTGCCTAATAAAGGTTCATTAAAAATCACGTATTCTTAAAATTTGTGGAAGAACAGATTGGATAAGTTATTTGATTTAAAAAATTATATTACTGTTAACTTTTAATGATTTACTGTCACAATGAAATCAAATAGCCCTCAAATTGTGTCGGAACTTAGAGACACACCATGAATCTACATGTGTTATTCATCTGTGTCTACTCCTGTGGGTTTTTATATGTGTTTCAGTTTTTAAATAAAGCCTATTATATTTATTAGAATTTTAAATGCTATTTTATAGAGCAGCATTGTTTGTAAATGCATCTTCAAGTTCGTACTAAACTTTTTACTCTTCAATTTTTGTATCTTGCACATTTTCAGCTCTCATGATATTTATGAGATATACTGGTGAGATGAGTGTATATTACCTCATTAGCCTGAAACGTTAGTACTTCCTGAGAATCATTACTGATATATTTGACAACCTTCATTCTTAACATTCCCAAGTGTGTTTGCATGTGAAATTAACAGATTAAGGCCATAATAAGTTTATTAAAATAAAAAGGCTTTCCATTTAGTCATTGTAATTTATTTTTGTTTGTAAGAAGTCATGTCGTAGATTCAATGTTTTAGTGTTTATTTTTGAAGTGTTTTCTACTTTATGCATCTAGGTGCAGCGAAATTGACTTATTTTCACAAACAAAACTTGGAAGAAAAGATTGACATTAAAGATATTAGTAAAACATCATTATATTTTATTTATTAAAGCTACAAGTATTACTACATATTCACATCTGAATATTTTATTACTATTTCTCAATTTTCTATTTAAACCATAAGGTGGCCATGAATGTAAAAAAGTCAGGAAGTTTATCTTGGAACCTGTAAGTGTAAGCAAACTATACTGCTTTTAAATTATGTCAGTTATTGGTATTTTTTCAACATAATTCTGTACGACCACTTTATGATTTTGTCTGGTGATACTTATTCAATTCACTATATTTAATGGTACCTTAGATTAGGTATTCTCCTGTATAAATATAAAATATTTTTGTTTGATGAGCTTGTTTTCTGTAGTACCTCAGTCTGATGTATGTTTTGAAGTTTTTATTACCATTTTGAATTGGTATGCAAGTTAGAATGATGTTAATTAGGTAGATTTATGAAAAAAGTAAAAAATGACAATGTTTCGTATATGTACATGTGTAGGTCTGGAAAATGTAGAATTTACTAGAAAACCAGGAAAAAATTTTAAAAAATGTGGCCACCATAAATTATGTTAATATTTACATAAAAGACAGTTTGCATACTCTTAAAATTACATACATATTTAAGAATGAGTGTAGAATAAAAAATATATTAGTCAATCTTGGAAGCAACAGAAATACATTTACATGTATCAGTGATGTATCTTCATCACATTTCGGCTTTTTTCTGTTATCTTTTTAGCTTTGCAGTAGGCGGCCCGGCATGGCCAGGTGGTGAGGTTGCTCGACTCGCAATCTGAGGGTCGCAGGTTCAAATCCCCGTCCTACCAAACATGCTCGCCCTTTC